AAATGCTCTATGACAAAGATTTCGCATTACACGCTCCGGTTTGAAACGGTACACACTTCCTGTCTCCTAAGTGGGTGTGATCGTTGTGTTTTCGGTTGCTGAGACAGAAAAAAGTAAATTTTTCTTCTGATTTGTTTGAAAAGTGTCATTTATACGATGTTCGGAACATGTGGCTTGTGAAAAATGGGTCCAACATTTTCTTAAATATTTATTACCCTTTTATTAAGATTCGGTCATAATCTCTGCTCATGTTTACTTCTCCCAGTTAATCAACTCAGGACCTGCCTTTTGTTCTTCCACAGTTTTCAGTTCTCTTTGAACTTAATATTTGTACTCCCTGCTGTTTGAAATTGTCCTTGACTTGGCTGAATGCTCTGAAGTCCACTTCCCAGGGAACGACTTTGTGATCAGTACACAGCTAAAGTGGTTTTGTTGTTTAAGCCTAACTTGCTGTGAAGACTGAAGTTTTTTCTTAAAAAAAACACTATGCATGTAACAAGTGTATGTTTGCACTTAAGAAATTAATTACCTTTGTGGTATAACATAGCTGTAATTATATTTAGTTATACATACAGTCATTACACACACTAACACATACTTAAAGTGTGTTATTAAATGTAATTGTTTAAAACAGTAGATGTGTTCAAAAGCCATGAAGAGATGTTGAGTTTCTTCTTTCTTTTTGTTCTTGTAATTTTACAAAAAAACAAACATCCCGGAGCTTTCAGCTGCATCTTCATCAGCAGATGGGGTTTGCTCAGTTGTCGCGGAGAGTGAACAAGAATTTATAAATTAATTTATTTTAAATATACTACATTCATGTTTCATATTTAAATGAAATGAGATGTTGGAACATTAAGACATATTTTGTATGATTGTATTTTACTGTCACTCATGTCTGTTGGCTGCTTCCCAAGAGGAGTTATAGTTGTTGACGAATACATTAATGAACACTTGATAAGTTCCTTACATCTGCTTACAACTACATTGTACTGTCTTACAGTGTTTTATAAACCATTCATGACTTGTTCATATACTACTTATAAAAGTTAAATAGCGAGATTAAATAAAGTATTACTTCATATGAGTTAAATTAAGTATAGGTGTAATTTTTTACGTTTTGTTTTATGCCTGGAGAGAAATTAAAGTAATGCCCGCAACACGTATTTACACAAAACCTCCCAAAAAATGAGTCTTTTTGTGTTCTGTGTACAGTTCTTATTTAGAGTAAATGTATTCATCCGCTGGGAACGACTGCCCCCTTCTTTCTTCCTCTCGCCCTCCTCCAGCCCTCCCCTTTCTTGGCCTGCTTTTCTAAAAACACATTGACCTGGATCAGCCCTCACAGTGAGAAATGAGGTGTCCGCCTGCTTCTGAGTAAATTGTCTCTCGTGGCGTTCGAGGTGGAGTCATAATATCATAATATGTGAGAGTAAAATGCATTTGTGTCTACCTAGATCAGAGCTATTTCTATACACAGATGGCCGTGTTGGCAGGACAGACGGTCTTTCCCCTCACCTCAGTCCGATGCACGACTTAACACTCTCATTAGAGAGGGTTTTGCGGGAACCTGCTGAAACACAGCTATCTTAATGCTTCTGCACCATTATTTCATCGTATTATAATGTGTGCAACCCACATGCACTTCTCAAGTGTAAGTGCCACCTCGTGTTTGATTGTAAAACTTTGTGTCTGTGTGAATCATCAAACTGCTGCCTTCACCAGTGCAACAGTGACAGCTCTTTCACCCAGACTCGTTAAATGGAGGACATTGTGTTCCTTCGACGGCGAGTTATTGTCAGCCCACTCATTCCCACTGTGTTTCCACTTAGTTAATCCCCTATGACCTCTGACCCATGCCCACACTGCTCGGCCCTATTTTACTGTACCCCCCACCTCCCCTCCTACCTAATGCAAGACCCACCTGTTGTCTTGTGAAGCTAAAAAGAAAGTAGGTCTATAAATATGCCACGTGGAGAGAGAGAGGGGGAGTATTTATGCTAGAGAAAGAAGAGAAAAATAGGGTTTCCATGGAAACTAAAGAGCTGCATCTAATTGGCAATAACACCTCAAAGAGGTCTGAAATAAGAAACCATGAAGTCGGACTCACTCGCACTGCCATGCTTGATCAACATTTGTTGTTGTTTTTTACTTTATTAATGCTTTTTAAATGTATTTACAGAGACTGATGGCGTTCAATCTGTCCAGTACAAAATGTTTTTTTTTGTCTGTTCTTTCTATTTCTATTTCTGGGATGAATAGTTATCAGCAACGAAAGCAGGAGAGATTATTTGGCACGCAGACACGCACGCATGCACACAAACAAACAAATCAAGCATCAACCAGTCTGTCAAAAGAAAATCCCTCTTTTTTCACGAGAGCTATTAAGATTGGTGGCTGAACATATCCTCATGTCATCTCAGGCATCCCAAAATCACCCTTCTGATTGTTTAAGTGGTGCAGCTAATGATTATTTTTTATCATACATTAATTAATTGCTTTAGTCTATAAAAGTTAGTCTGCAAAAGGCCCATCTCCACTCCCCAGAGCCAGAACCCAAAGTGACTTTTTTAAACTGCTTGTTTTGTGAGCAGTAAATCAGCACATTTGAGAAGTAGGAAGCAAAACATATTTTTTTGTCATTTTTGCTTGATTAAAAAATAGTAGCTGATTCATTTTCTTATAGTAAAGACTAATAGTCTAATTGATTAATCAATGTATAACTGCAGCTCCAGCGTCTCTGCTACTTGTAGGTCAGCAACGGATGTTTTTAATTCCTCATTTTCAGAGTTTCTTGACAAATGAAGGTTCCAGTAATTGCCAAAGGACGTAAACACAAATCACTGTTATGTAACCTGTGTTTAACGGGACATAACACATTAAGGACTTAATCTCCTCCTTTGGCATGCAACTGCATGTAAATGTGCCGGAGACGGACGTCAACGAGCTGAGAGAGGGTCAGAGACTCAAGGTTGCTGCTCATGCAACCTCTCTGTGAAAAGCATCACTGTTGCAATGTTGTATGTAATTTTTACTTGTCACAGCTATTTGTGTAGTAAAAGCATATGATAAGAGCTGAGTTGAAAAGAGTGAAATAATGATGTTTTTTTTGTTGGGTGCTGCTGCTCGAGGCCGATATGCAGGACAGAGGACGAGGAGGATGAAGCAGTGGACTGGAATCACTTTCTTCCGCCTCTCGGTTTATCTTCAGGAGGAGACTGGCGGTTCACTCATCATGGTTGACAGTGCAAGTAATTTGGGTCTTCCAACAAAAAAAAAATGAAATTGCAAAACCCACTACTTAAATAAAAAGATTGTTAAGTCAGTTTTGGTTGGTAACTTTAGATTTTAAGGATAAACAAATACACCTTTTGTGAGAATATTGTAATTACATATATATATATATATATATATATATATATAGAGAGAGAGACAGAGAGCGAGAGAGAGAGATACGAGAGAATCCCAGTCAAGTTAAGACCAACAAGTCGAGTTTGTTTGCGTTTTCAGTACTAAATAAGTGCCCTTAAACTACTGCTCTCTCAAATTACTTGCAAACTAGAAAGCAGCAGCCAGTAGAGTGCAGATGTCTGCAACTACCACTGTGTGATTGAATAAATACAACCCAGTTGGCTAACCCCCCGTCTAGACACCAATGGACTGTAAGGCATCGTAATACAAACTTGGAAAAAAAACGGTGATGTATTCAGGGAATTGGTTCAAAGCTGATGTATTAGACACACCATAGGATCCTGCCAAAAACAAAATTAATCTCACCAAGCTGTCTGCTCGCCTAGCAGTGTCCGGATATCGGCGATGTACTCAGCAGTATGTATACTGGTAGTTCTGTTAGCTGTTAGCCAAACACATCGCAAACTGTCATCATCCAACTGTGTCTCTGCAGAGTAGTGGATGGCCCCTAACGGCCGGGGGCCGGTTAAGAGTGGTGAGTGAGGAGTAAGCAGGTATTCAATGGCAGTATAAAACAGGCAATAAAAAGTATTTTGAGTAACTGCAACCACAAGGGGTTCTTGAGCATGCAGCCATAACTGGCTACCCAAAATATTATGCAGTTTGCTGCAGCAGAATGCAAGATTATCCATGGACAGACACAGAGGTGCACACTCACTCACTCAGTCACTAACTCACTCACTCAGCCTAACTCACGGACACATGCACTCACGCAACCAATTGCGTTTTTATGTAATCGGGCTCAGCAAGGATATCAATTTGTTTCAAGTCAAAAGTCATTGGTGTTTAAGGGGAACTCCTCCAATTGTACTCTTGAAGTTCAGTTTACTGATCAAAGAGAGGACCGCACCGTTATATCATGTCAGCTCTAGAGGTTTCTACAGTCTAAAGAATAAAAAAAACCTGTGGTGTAATCAGGGTTATCTCTGCTCTGGTGTGGAGATTTCTAATCTCGTCTAATAGAACATGGGGTGCGTTATGGGAAATGTAGGATCCATCGTTTTTTGGAACTTAAATGCAGCTTTTGATACTTTTTTCTCTCTGTGTTTTCTTTAGTTTCCAAAATGTGAAAACCAGTAAGTACTGTATAATCTTCCTATTTTAAGCAAAAAGAGATAAAAATACATTCAAGATCACTGTAAACTTACTGTAGGTGCCACAGTTATGCAAATTCTATTTAATAATCCAATATGAGACCAAAAGAACCCCCATATAGTCAATACAAACACACTGTAAAATGCCTCAGAAACACTCCCACTGAGTCTCTACAGAAATCTTGTAGGATTACAAAAGTCTTCACGGGTGTGTTTTTGTTGGATGTCAGTGCAAGTCTGAGTGGGCTAAAGTCTAAATCATACAATCCACATCTCCACACTCTGGGGAAAACAATAGCATATATACAGTATGTATATATGTATATAAATAGGAACATAATCAGAGCTCTCTCTCTCTCCCTCTCTTTCTCGCTGTCTCTCTCCCACACACACACACACACACACACACACACACACATACACAGTGGCAGGGATCGGAGCAGATGCACAACCACCAGGCGGGAGCAGCTCTGTTCAGCTACTATGGAGCTCCGACTGGAGACATGTACAAGTTTGTGTAACAGAAATCTTGGAGCGCATTTATGAAAACACAGTTTGTTTATTGAAGGAAAAACCGAGGAAGCAAAGAAGAGAGGAACAACTGAAGCATCTTTTTTTATGAGGATGAAACCGATGTTAGTCTTCGAGTGATTCAGTCTACAGTAACACCAAGGTAAGAGTTTATAGCTTTATGTTCTTATTTTTATTATCGGTAATGTCTGTTGGCTTTTCTGGGAAGATTTGAAAAAAATGTAAAGCCCAAAAATGCTTTTTATTTTTATATTTTGTGATGATCAAGAATTTTAACTTGTTTACTTTCCTGACACCACTTAAAAATCTTCAAATTAAAAAAACTTCATATTAAAAAAGTTCCACATTGGTAAGTCCTGTGTTAGTTTGTCTGTCCCTAACTTATTCTAACTACACAAAAAACAACAATCAATACTTTGATAAACCATTCATGTGGCCGAGTAAGTGGACTGTAAAATATTTGGGGAGCGTAAACCGATAGAGGAAAAGATTTTAAAGGCCAAAATCATTTTTCAAGGTTAGGGTAATAC